ACTGCGTACCAATGCATTTGATCCTCCGGTCTCCAGGGCCACAGCCTGCCCAACTCCCTTCTCAGAATCAGAGCAAACTCCTCACTGTAGCCCCCAAGGTCCTGCACAACCTGGGCCCCATTCCCTTTCTGCACCACCTCCTCCCCTGTCCCTATCGATCACTCAGCTCCAGCCGCTGGCCTTCCATTCCTTAAACACTTGGTCCTACCTCAGGACCTTTGCACAGGCTGTTCAGAGACCTGACGTTCTTTCCCAGATGTACCCATGTATCTCTCCCCTCTTTCAGGTCTTTGCTCAAATGTCACCTACCAGGTGAGGTCTGTTTGAAAGTTCAGTGCTACAGCAGGGCTCGGTGGCTCAGCCTGTAATCCCGCACTTTGGGAGGCCGAGGTGAGTGAATTGCCTGAGCCCACGGGTTCAAGACCCGCCTGGGCAACTTGGCGAGACCTCATCTCTACAATAAATTTTTTAAAAATTAGCTGGGCATGGTAGCGCGTGCCTGTAGTTCCAGCTACTTGGAAGGCTGAGGCGGAAGGATCGCTGGAGCCCAGCTGGTCGACGCTGCAGTGGCCGGTAGCGGTCACTGCACTCCAGTCTGAGTAAGTGAGACTCCAACTCAAAAAAAAAAAAAGTGCAGTGCTAGTCAGATGCAGTGGCTGATACCTGTAATCCCAGCACTTTGGAAAGCGGAGGCGGGAGGATCGCCTGAGCCCAGGAGTTTGAGACCAGCCTGAGCAACATAGCGAGACCCCATCTCAACAACAAAATAGCCAGGCGTGGTGGCACACACCTGTAGTTCCAGCTGCTCGGGAGACGGAGTTGGGAGGATCACCTGAGCCTAGGAGGTCAAGGCCGCGGTGAGCCATGATTATGTCACTGCACTCCAGCCTGGACGACACAGTGAGACCCCAACTCTAACACACACACACAAAAGTGCATGGCCACCCCTTCCTGGCACCCTCTAGCCCCTTTCCCTGGCACTTATCGCTGTCTGGCTCACTGGATCAGTTCCCAGAGTCTCCAGAGAGCGGCCCAGGACCAGCAGCATGAATTTCAAGTGGGAACTTGTTAGGTGCTAATTGTCAGGCTGCAATGGACCTAGAATCAGGAGCCCTGGGGTGGGGCCCAATGATCGCTGTTATAAAAAAACCTCCAGAGATTTGCATGCATCATGGGTCTCTATCTTGTTTGCCATCTGTCCTGCTCCTAAAATGGGAATTCCACGACAGCAGGGCTTCTGGCTTTCAGCTCCTGCTGTGTCTCTGCACTCAGGAGCTCCTGGAACAGAGTAGGTGCTCAAAACACGTTCTTGAAAAAACAAATAAAGGAACTCAAAGAACGTTCTGAGGCAGGTGCTGTTTCCACCTCTTTCTATGATGGCTGGAAGCGAGGCCCAGAGGTGAAGCGACCTGCCCAAGGTGGCACAGCTGGCCAGGTGGGACACAGCCAGGGCTCAAATTCAGGCAGGCTGGCTCCAGAACCCCACTGTTAACTGGGGCTCCACACTGGTGGCCTCTGTACACCAGGGAGACACAGGAGTGACCACCTCCTGCCCAGTGGGGAAGGTGACTGTGAGAACAGATTTAGCTGCTCATTCATGGCTGTCTGCTGCCTCCACACATCAGCTGGGGGAACAAGGGAATGACAACAAAAGTATTCATTTCTGCCCCTCCATATTTTTCCAGCTGTGGCCTTCTCCCTCCCCTGAGTCCCTCCAATAGCTGTTGCCCTTGGACCCATGGTCTGGTGCCGTCTGGCATGTGTTTGCCTCCCTCACCAGCCAGGGACTTCTGGAAGGCAGAGCAAGGTCTGACTCCTCTGGGTCCCCAGCATGGCCCAGCACAGGGCCTGGTCTCTGGGAAGCCTCGGAAGACATTTGCTGGGTGAACGCTCCCTTCCCCTCAGCTGCCTTATTCCACTGCAGTACCCAGCCAGGGGCCTGCCTCGTGAGCCACTGTCTTGGGGGCTTGAGAGAAAAGAGTGGCCAGGCGTGGCGGCTCATGCCTGTCATCTCAGCACTTTGGGAGGTGGAGGCGAGAGGACTGCCTGAGCCCAGGGGTCCGAGATCAGCCTGGGCAATTTGGCGAGACCTCATCTCTGTAATGAATCAAAAAATCAGCCAGGCATGGTGGCGTATGCCTGTGGTTCCAGCTACTTGGAAGGCTGAGGCAGAAGGATTGCCTGATTCCAGTAGGTCGAGGCTGCTGTGGCTGTGAGCGTGCCTCTGCACTCCAGCCTGGGCGATGGAGGGAGACTCCAACGCCAGAGAGAGAGAGAGAGACAGAGAGAGAGACAGAGAGAGAAGCCCTTCAGGAGGGAAGAAACCTCTCTAAAGGACAGGGAGGGGTGGCTAGGGGACATACAGGAAGAGACCAGGAAGGGGGAGAGACCAGGTAACAAGGGTTTCCTTGAGTGGGTGGGGCTAAGACAGGAGCCCTGACATCACCTGCCCCCTTCTGTGCTTCCCATAAATCCTGTCCACTCCCTTCCTCATCTAAGCTCTTCAGGGTGGCACCCCTGCTTCTCCCTCAGCCTTTCCCTGTTGCTCAAAACACACACCCACCCGGGCTCAGTGGCTCAGCCTGTAATCCCGTGCCTTTGGGAGGCTGAGGTGAGTGGA